CAAAACATATGGGTGGTCTTCTAAAAAAGTTAAAGTACAAACAAAAGAGGAACAATTGGGGGTCCCCAGTTGCAGGCAAATACACACTTGTGTGGGTGTGGGTGTTTGTTACTTCAAGTAAACATTGTTATGCTTTGGTATACCTTTGAATTAATGTTGCTACCCAGCAGTGTATCCTTATTCTGGATTTTGGAGCCATAAAGTTCAAACATACCCCATGAACTCCATCCCACCCATGCCCACACAGTGGTTGCTAAGTCTTAAAATACTATGAAGCATGTACCTACACTTCAGAGATATTTCTGTACAAGCAATAACATGTATGTTGTACACACTTGTGCTCAATATCATTGGACCACATGACACAGCACACTTGTCATGTGTTCCTTATATGCAGCACTTGTCACTTTTGTACTAATGTATAAGCAAGGTGTTGAGATGGTCGAAGCTGAACAGTGTATGCTGACAAAGTCTTATTCTTGTAATTCTGTTCTTATCTACAGTTCTTCCAAACAACAACATCTTCAAGCAGATCATTGAGTTGAAGATGAGCTTGAAGAAGCGGGACAACTTCACGGCCGCCCTGTCCCGTAAGGTCAACACCTGTGTGGCCCATCGCAAGCTGATTGCCGAGCAGGGCCAGAAGATCCTGCAGCAGGAGCAGGTGATTGCCGAACTGCGCACCAAGGTTGCTGAGCAGTGCCAGAGCTTGATCAGCCAGGAGCGCCGGCTGGCCTTGCTGGAGGAGAGGGTGAACCGGTACACCATGAACTTTGACTTGTCACCCGAGCTAGGCGTGGGAGCTGGGAGTGTGAAGAGGAAGGAGACTGGTGAAGATGAAGGGAAGGATGCAGGGTTTATGTCCAAGAAATCACGCAAGACATAGTGATTCATTTGTAATAAGCATAAAAAGTACTTATTTATTGAGGTTGGGGTTTTGTAACAGTCAAGAGAAATTTACCTCCATTTTCACAAACACTGTGCCCCTTATATACCTTTTTTAATTGACAAATTTGAAAGTAAATACATGTACTCACTGTTTGGTTTTCAAGAGAGAATTGATATGTCAGAAATGCTTATTTCACGCATACTTTTATAATCATTAGGCATTTAGGAAAGTGATGTTTTCAAGAGAGAATTGATATGTCAGAAATGCTTATTTTACGCATACTTTTATTATCATTAGGCATTTAGGAAAGTGATGTAGAAATGTAACATACAAAAAGTGCTGCAAATTGCATGCTGGCTACAGTGACCTCAATCAGAGGCCTTTTTGCCTGTGAGAAAGATTCAGCTAGAATCAAATTGTCAGGCCCTCAAACCTTTTTAAATGTGATGCGGCACAGAGTTTGATATTCCAGTAGAAAAGCATGATGAGGGAAAAAAATGTTCACCATTAGAGTAGGAATTCTGTATTCTGAATGTTACGTTTTCAGAATACCATTTTTGAATGAATTGTAAATAGCAGTTTGGCTTTCCAACTGGATACTGTTATGAAATAACCAAATGTTTGGCATAGTTGAGTTTGTGACATCTCTCCCACAGATTTTTTTCTCTTTACAGATTGGGGGCATACGCTTTTTCTCCCATTAATTACCACCCATTCCAGGAACCAAGAGTTTGAAGCTCAAAAACCAATTCACCACACGAGCATTTCCTGTAGTTTTTTTGATTTATTTTAGGGGGAAGTGCAACAGGCCAAGGTTACTGTGGGACTATATCAGTGGCGGAGTTTACTTCTTTAATTTCTAGTTGGAGAGACAATTGCATCTGTATGGGTGAGGTATAATGAAAAGGTATAATGGAGTAATCAAGTGCCGTTTGTGATTGTTGTCAATTTTAAGATTTTTGCAATGATGACGAGTGTTAACAAATTCGACTCCTGTGCGTGCGTTGATGTTTTGACCAGAGCACCATACTTCTACTTGGGTCATGCTATAAATGAGGGGTCCAATTTTTCATGTCCCTGTCACATCTGATATGTGATTTTGTAAGTTTGGTACAGTACACATTCTTTAATTTCCAAAGAGTGATGAATTAAAGCAAATCAATCACCTGACAAACAAATAGAAATGGTTTGAAAGCAATTTCGGTAATATTTCCATGTCAAATGGCACAGGTTAGGTGTAACAGGGACACAAAAATGTCATTCTTTTGGACCCTGAATTGATAGAATGAACCACTTCCTACCTGATTTGTATTTCGCTGTATGACAATGCATGCTACCAGTTCTATCGAGGCCTTCACTGGGATGCCAGCAATCATTATACCCACTGCTGGGATATCGTATTTTTTTTCACAAAAAAAATAAAAATTGGGGGAAAACTTTTGAGTTTACAGATGTTCCTGGGTCTTGATTTTTGGTTTTGAACAAGGTGATGTTTTGTTTACTTAAAAGATTACAGCCAATTAAAATTTGGGCTTCCAACTTTAGCTTTGAGCAAATAAAACTGGATTACGGTCGTTATTGGCTGGTGTACCACATGGACATAAGTAGGCCTGACAGTGCAGAATGTTTTTCATTGAATGCTTGTTTTCAATTTCAGCCTTGTTGGACTTCCAACAACAGTCTGGTGTCTGGAGTTGCATGTAATGAGGTTTCAACAACTGTGCAAAAGAGCATCGGCCTCTCATTTACACTAAAAGGAAATAGATGATGATTGATGGGTGTATGTAGGTCAAGTCGAATTGAGGTCACAGGGCTGCATTAAGTTACTTGACCATTAACTCCTGATCCCCTGGTGCAGATGGTGCAGATCGGGGAGAAAAAATAGAACTTGTCTCTGCTTGCATCCCATCCGGAGAGGATCCTCTCTGAATACTTACATGTCAGGCTGCCCCTTAAAATCCTGGTTTGCTGGCATAGTTGCGCTGTGAGTGCCTGTTAAGGTTGTGTTCATTGTATTAACTGATGTCTTCAATTCTTGAAAAGATGGATGAATGCAGATTTGAAAATTTCAGCAGGAAGCTGCACAAACATAGCGGTTTATATCTTGCTTCACCTCAAATTTACTTTGGTTAATTAAACCTACTGTACATAAAGGACTACACTGTCAGATTGTGGGTTTCATTGCAAGGATTCCAAATTGTAAATTATTGCCTAATTTTTAGGTAAATGTGCATTGTTGCAGTCACTTACATGTATGTACTTTTCTTTGGTCAGTGCTAAGTAATTAGATTTTTTGCCATACGCTTAAGTTTATAGCCAAAGTTAGTACATGTATATGCACATGTATGTGTCATTTTGCTCAAATAGTGACTGGTAGCTGGAACCCTGATCACCTTTGACCTCTAGGAGCCTTGGTTCGAATCCCACCTACATGTAGTGGGAGTGCACCAAGCAGATTGCTTTGAGCTGCTACTCAGTTTCTTGGATTTCCATCGGGATAATGGAATTGCCTGGCTTTGTCCTCCATGCTTTAAAATAAAAATTTCCTTTTGCTTCCTTGAAAGTGGGAAGATTCCTGGATACCCTAAGGTGCATTGCTGAAATATGCTAGCTTTCAAAGCCCATGGATAATTGCCAAAAATGGACCTTAAAATGAAAAAAAAAGACTACTTCTTTTGTGCACCAGGCATATTTATTTTCTTTTCTTCAGTATCTGACTTTAATTCTGTCAAGGTACCTGACTTACGGCAATAAAACTTATCCATCAGTATGTACTTCCTAGTTGTCACTGTCAACCATGTCAACTTTCAACAATTGTGATTAATGCCTTCCCAGTTTCAAAACCTGCCATGACGTTGCACTGGCTAACTTGAACCAGCTGTTGCATCTGGCTGGGTGATGCACGAGCCAACATAAAGGTACATGTATAGGGACATTGGGAGTATGATTATGGGAAGTCACTTGATTGGATAACAGGGTGCAGTGATTTAATGAGGCATTCTCTCAGCACAGTTTCACTCTGGAGGGTTGACGTTTGAGTTGCATGTTCATGTACTTTGGGGGAAGGTCACTGGTTTAAATTGAATTTGTCATTTTGGAAGCTCTTCACATTGGGAATGGATGGGTTGTTGGAGGGGTGAGAGGGCATTGACAAGCATGTGAACTTTCCAAACATTTAAAGAAATCTGACTGACATTCGGTTTTTTCCTGGTGGGTGTGGGCAACATGAGGTTACTATCCTCCATTTTACACTAGTCATCATTTCCGATGGCATGTGAATGCTGCCAACGTGGACAACTGCCATCAACAAACTGAGTGTTTAAATCGTTTCTCTTCATTTCTGAAAATGTTCAGAAAGGAATCCAGGTGAAATGTATTTAAAAAATTAAAAAATAAAAAAAACCCCAAAACCCTGGTTGATGTGATTTTAATGCAAAATGAAAGCACCACTTGTTTCTACAGCACCGCGGTTTACTTTGGATATGCTACGTAGTAGTTAGGTTCCCAGAGATGACGATTCCTGATGATTCATGATAAAATCTTAGGCTCGGTATCACCTACAGTTAAAAATAGACCGTGATGCAACATGTCCGGTGTCACAAGGGAATCCCCGTTCGGGCTATGCTGGAAACCATTTCATTTTATGATATGTTTCATTTTCAGATGTACTTTACACAATGCAGTGGTACAAATACAGAACTAAAAAGAAGAAGAGGAATTTAACCAGCCCCCACTGACATGATTGCGCCAAAGGTGTGGTGAAGTTTTTAAAATTAGTCAAGGAGAGCTTCAATTTAAGCATAAACTCTGAGCATTTCAGGATTCAGTGCTGTTACTACAGCCATGATGACTGAATTCATTTTTAAATTGTCTAACGTCGACATAAGACAATTTTAAAACGATCAGTATACTATTTTTACAGGGCTAAAAATGCCTGACGGTCAATGATACTTGGGAACATGTTGATGACGTGTTCGGTATATTTTTGATAGATTTGGAAAAGGGAAGAGTTCTTCCACTTTATATCACACAACACAGGGTGACACCGGGCCTTTGTTTAAAAAAGTAGTCAGATTCATTGGGTCTGGGAACCAGACTAGACATGCTGGATGCTTCATTCATGTGTATTTGTCACCACCGCCCTATTCATCATGATGTATATTCATTCTTTGGAGAAGTGCAAATGTACATACATGTACCTGCACACCAAATGTGGGGATTAAACTAAAATGGATTTGAAACCATTCTTTGAAAGGTGTTTTTCAACGGTTGGCACTAGGCCAAAATATTCCAAATTTTATTGACCAAATGCTTGTGCGGTCAGCTGCCTCAACAAATGTGTCTAGATGGATCACAGAGAGTGTGCAATTTACTGTTAATTTTTGTGACAAGAGGCATGAAGTTGAATTGAATTTCATTCAGCATGTTCATTGGCCAGGACTGAGCCATTGCATGGTACCAGCATAACAGCGTTGTCCAATACACATATATATAGTCAAACATTTAGAACGGAGTAGTCAAACTGAATAATTAGCACAGATCTCTCTCATGATGAATTTCAGGAATCCCTGGGAAAAACCCTCTTATTATTATTTTTTTCCAGAGAGTTTCATGCAGGTTGTTTTAGAGCTTCTACAAAGTTATCGATACAAAAATATGACATTTTGAATAAGTGATGTTTTTTTGGGGGGGTACATGTACATGCAGCATAACAGAATTAGAAGACACAGACCAACACCTTTTCAGATTAAACTTTGGTAGGCCTTTGTCCAATTACGACTGCTTTCAAAATCTCCAAATGTTGATCACCACCACTGTAACCATGGATACTTTTTTTCTGGAAAAGCATGTTCAGAGCTAAATACCATATGTGAACTGCATTGAGTTGAAATCATATTCTGAAAGTTTTCCATGTGAAAAAATTCACATATGAGTGTATTGTTGCATCGTTTGGTTTCATATTCTTCTCATTTCTACAACATTCTGAGTACCAGTTCACCCACAGACTTCACCGCTGCATGATGATTCCAAGTGCCTTTGTTCCCTTTGACCTTTGTCCTCTGTGAATGGAACATCGGCAAATGTAACAGCTGTTTTTCTAAAAGTTCAAGGAAGAAACAGCTTTATGCAAATGGTTGCAGAATTTACTGATCCGATGAAATCAACCAAGCTCCAAAATGAGAGGGTGCAAGTACTCTGTTTTGTTTTATACATAAAACTCTTTTTTTTTAATTATCATATCTATTTCATTATAATGCACATATATATCTTTGTTTTCTGACTTTCACAAAGAAAACATTTAACTGCCTCCTAACAATTTATCTATGGTCGTCCAATAAATAAACATATACAACAGACATTTCCATGATTTGCTGTCCTTTTTTTTTTTTTACACACAAACAATAAAGAATTGAAAATTCTGTACAGTCTACATGTACAGCCGGTACCACTGCGTGGGGTCCCACTGAAATTAGAAATTAACCATTCATGAAAAAAAAAAAATTCCCCCTCCCAGCCTGTTGGCCCGTTGCCTTCTCTCCAACTGCCCTTTCACTTTCAGTATTTCAGTTTCACTGATGGCATCGGATTTGTTATTTTCCTGCAGTGCTGTTTCAAAATTTGCCCGGTTTCCAGGAAGAAATTTGGACTAAATTAGCATTTAATAAGCTCACGGCGATATCTCCAGCGATAAAAATAGCTGATTCTAGTGTAAACAGTTTTTTGGAGGGATGCTGTAGTCGGATGTGCTGCCTGTGACTACCCACATGATGATAAATAATGCCAGACTGACAAAGATCTCTCTCAAGTTATGCTCCAAAGAAAGGCTTATAGGTTGTTTTCCCTCCTTGTTCTAGAGATGTTCTCTGTGGAGGGACACAATTTGAAGAATACACTCAGGGTGCCCCATGTGGAACACAAGTAGACATTCTTTCCTGGAGTGTCGGGCATTATTAAATGTTGATCACTTGGCAGTTGTATGTGTATTTTAGTTCACCACATACAAGTCCTTTCGCAAGTCCAGTCACAAGTCCCTTCACAATGCCAGTCATAAGCAACAGGGTGAACAATGACAAAAGAATGCTTTTTGTCACAGCTCATTTGAATAGCTTGTGAATTGGCGTAAGACTCAATGACTTTTAA